TTTACAAGGTTCGACGAGAATATCGTCTACTCCTCGGGCACCACACCGGATGATAACTTCACTATATCGCCAATATTACAACAAATGAAATTCTTTGGAATTCCCAAAGTGGGAGAATGAAGAATACAAGAGGAAGATAGAACTTGTTTTTGGGATGATATCTAATGGAAATACTTAGGCCTATTTATAGTTGAGTTTCAAGAACAATATGTTCAAAGTTTGGCCACCTACCAAAGAATTTTCCAATGTGTACAAGTTAGCCACCAAATATGAAATTCACATGTTCAAAGTTTGGCCACCAACCAAGATAAAATTTCCAACTTGCCAACTTAATTTCTAGACAAATCTAACAAACCTCCACCTTGGGTTGAAATTACCAGGCCTACTCAACTTCTTCAACTCTCCAAATTTGTAGTGCCTCTAATTGCGCTCACAAGCGCCACACACTCGAAGGTGTTCATACTTTCAGGATGTTAATCAAGTTCAAACAATTATTGAACTTGATTACTGTTACCACCTTGGTCATCATATCTGCAGGATTTTCTGATGTCGCAATTTTCTGAAGTAGAATCTTTCCTTCTTCAAAGATCTCCCGCACAAAGTGATACCTCACGTCGATATGCTTAGTCCTTGAATGGTAGACTTGATTTTTCGCTAAGTGAATAGCACTCTGACTGTCACAATAGAGACTAATGTGACTTTGAACAACTCCCAAGTCTTCCATCAACCCGTTAAGCTAAATTACTTCCTTTACAGCCTCTGAAACTGCCATGTATTCTGCCTCTGTAGTAGACAAGGCCACCGTAGATTGCAATGTAGACTTCCAACTTACTGGGGCTTTAGCAAGAGTAAACAAATACCCAGTAGTTGATCGATGCTTATCCAAATCACTAGCATAATCGGAATCAACATATCCAACCATACACTGACCAAGTGCTTCATCCTGTTCAAAAACTAAACCAACATCCACGGTTTGTTGGAGATATCGTAGAATCCATTTCACAGCTTGCCAATGTCCTTCTCCAGGATCATGCATGTACCTGCTCACAACTCCAACTGCTTGTGAAATGTCAGGACGAGTACACACCATTGCATACATCAAGCTCCCAACTGCATTAGCATATGGAACTTTTGCCATATACACTCGTTCTTCGTTAGTTTTAGGAGATAATTGAGAACTAAGTTTCAAATGAGAAGCCAATGGGATACTTACATGTTTGGTATTTTCATTCATGCCAAAACATTGTAATACCTTTCTCAGATACTGCTTCTGTGTTAAACAAAGCTTCCATCTCTGTTTATTTATGCTTATCTCCATACCAAGAATCTTCTTGGCCTCACCTAGATCTTTCATCTCAAACTCTTGATTCAACTGAGCCTTTAATTTGTTTATCTCCTTTTGACTCTTCGAAGCGATTAACATATCGTCAACGTACAAGAGAAGATAAATGAAAGATCCATCTTTGAGCTTTTGCAAATACACACAATGATCATATTTGCTTCTAGTATACTTTTTCCTCCTCATAAAGCTATCAAATTGCTTGTACCACTACCTCGGAGATTGCTTCAATCCATATAGCGATTTGTTCAGCTTACAAACCCATTTCTCACGACCACCATCTTTATATCCTTCTGGCTGAGTCATATAGATATCCTCTTCTAAATCACCGTACAAGAAAGCCGTCTTTACATCAAGTTGAGCTAGCTCCAAATTCAACTGTGCTACCAAGGCCAACAATATTCTAATGGAGGAATGCTTCACAACAGGGGAAAATACTTCATTGTAGTCGATTCCCTCCTTTTGAGCGTAGCCTTTAGCTACCAACCGTGCCTTGTAGCGAACATCTTTCTTGTTATGAGATCCATCTTTCTTTACAAATACCCACTTGCATCCAATGGCTCTTTTACCTTTCGGTAATTGTGCCAGTTTCCAAGTGTTGTTCTTTTGAAGAGATTGCATTTCTTCATCCATAACACTTTTCCACTTATCACTTTCCAAGCTTTGTATTGCTTCTTGGTAAGCGATAGGGATATAATCAATAACAACTGGAAGAGCATAGGCCACCATATCAACAAATCGAGCAGGTCTACGAATTTCTCTCCTTGGCCTTGTAACTGCAAGTGTTTCTGGTGTCTCCAATGGTTCTTGGGTTTGAACCACTTCTGATTCTTCTATTGGAGTTGAAGAATCAGTCGCATCAACTTCTGGGATCATCGTCTGCTGAAACTCCACCTGTTTTGGAGTATGCTCCACCTGCTGCGGAGTACTACTTGTTTGGACAGCTTCACTTGTTACCTTCTTTACTAGGGCAGATTCATCAAAGGTAACATCTCTGCTACAAATTATCTTCTTGGTGTCTAAACACCAAAGGCGGAATCCCTTCACTCCATGGGTGATTCCCATAAAGAGAGTCTTCTTTGCTCTCGGATCAAGCTTGGATTCCTTCACATGATAATAAGCAGTGGATCCAAATATATGTAAGGAATCATAATCAGTAGCAGGTTTTCCAGACCATACCTACAATGGTGTTTTTCCTCCTATTGCTGATGACGGAAGACGATTGATGAGATGGCCAGCATATGCCACAGCCTCAGCCCAAAATGCCTTGCCTAACCCAACATTAGACAACATACATCGAACTTTCTCCAATAGTGTTCGATTAATACACTCTGCCACCCCATTCTGTTGTGGTGTATGTCTAATAGTGAAGTGTCGAACAATACCATACTCATGAAAAACGTCAAAGAATGGGTCACTTTTATATTCCCCTCCATTGTCCGTCCTAAGACGTTTGATCTTTCTACCAGTCTGGTTCTCGATCATATTTTTCCATTTCAGGAAAATTTGAAGCACTTCATCTTTAGACTTCATCGGATACACCCAAACTCTTCTGTAAAAGTCATCTACAAAAGTTACAAAATAATGGTTTCCTCCCAAAGACGATGTCTTTGAAGGATCCCATACATCTGAGTGAATATAATCTACAATACCTTTTGTATTATGTATAGTGGTGCCAAACTTCACTCTCTTCTGCTTTCCCAGAACACAATGCTCGCAAAAGTTCAATTTGCAAGCCTTTGCACCTTTCAACAATCCTTTCTTTGCCAGAATTTGCAAGGATTTCTCTCCAGCATGTCCCAACCGCATATGCCATAACTGGGTTGCATCCAAATCATCACCTCCGGAAGCTACTGCAACTACTCCAATAATTGTACTACCTTGGTAGTAATACAAATTATTTTTCCTGATGCCCTTCATCATCACAAGTGCGCCATATGTGACTTTTAAAACTCCATCTCTCATAGTGACTACTGAGCCTTTGGATTCTAAGGCTCCCAACGAGATGAGATTTTTCTTCAAACTGGGCACGTATCGGACATCCGTCAGAACTCTGGTTGATCCATCTTGATTCTTCAATCGAATTGAACCTATCACAATAGTTTTACAGGCATTGTCATTGCCCATATAAACAACTCCTGCATTTAGTTCCACTAAATCGGAGAACCACTCCCGATTAGGGGACATATGATAGGTGCAACCCGAATCTAATATCCACTCATCGGAATGGAATGTTGTTGATGAAGCAACCAATGATATGTCAGAGTCATGTGCATCATGCTCTGCAACACATGCATCTGGAGCAGCTTTTCCTTTCTTCTTCAGCTGTCTACCATGACGCTGAGAATTAAGACCAACATTAACCTGTTTCCGAAGTGCTTTTATACGGACGTTAGTATTTGTGAACTTATCATGCTGCCATTCTCAAAGAGATGCACCGACTGCTTCAATCTTATTTAATGCAGTATCGTTTGTATATGTCCTTGCGACTTGAATACGTTCATTACATGCTTCCTCGTTTGACCTGCATGTATCGAACCTAAAGCAGTGATCTTGCTCATTTCGCTCATTCAAACCTGCTCTCCAATCTGTCGAGGCAGTAAACCGGTAAATTCACATGTCCATGTGAACTAATCTTTGGATGGTTTGAGGTCAGATAAGCCATTACAATGCAAAGCATCACGGAAAGCATTAATATGACCTCTTTGTTTACGTCTACCTCCTTGTTTATCAGAATCATTTAAGACTTCTTGAAACCCCTCCGACTAACCACAGAAGCGTCGAAGAACTTCTTAGAGCATCAAGCGTGCATAAAACGTCGCCTGAGAGATTCAAACCGTTAATACATTTTAACAAAAGATTATATAAAGCATAAAAAATTACCACTTATTTTGTAATAAAATTTAAAAATATTATGGGTGAGAAAAAGAATTAAGAAAATACAATTGTTAGGTAATTAATTTAGGATATAGGTAATTTGTTACTATATATATGAAATTAGTCATGCCTACTCAACAAGTTCTACAAAATATATTAAAAAATTATATAAACTTATCACATTCACATGATGAATTCTAATTATTTATTATATTTTATAAAACTTATCATGTCCACGCAATGAATTTTAAATACACCGTAATAAATAGTTAAATCATAAATTAATTTTTCACTGCTTACCTTTCTTAAAATCTTTTATAGTCTGAATTATTTCACTTATTTCGGTCCCGACAACTTTTTTTTTTTTAAATTAAGAAAAAGAAACAAATCTAATTTTACCTTTCGTATAACTACCTCTCAACTTAATTTTAACCCCTCGTATTATTCGTGTCAAAATCAATGAATTAGATTCTCAAATTGAACAATCCCATTGATATAGCTTTTATCTATTGTTATAGGTTAAGCCGTTTTGAGTTGTTCTTTCTCCTAGAATAAACTTACAAATTTGGTTTTACAGGTTTCCAAACATGGTTCCTTGTTGTTTTCTTCGAATCCAAAACCGCTTCTCTTTTCCTTCAACGAGGGGTTCCTTCAATCCGTTGAAGGTTCCTCCCCTCCTCAGCCCATATCTGCTGCATTTCGGCGATTGATTACTTCAATCCCCACTGCCTACGCCTCTCTACTGCCAACTTCAACAAGCAAGGAATTCTAGGGTTTTGGAATCATGGCTAATAAAATGAATTGCTTGCCTTGTTTCGCTACACACAAAGGCAGGAAAGTGAGCGGCAGAAGGGATCACGAGCCTTCCTCTGACGAGGTTATTCGATCCAGAGTATTGTTTGGTATGCGCCTCTTTGCTTTCTTCTTTTTATTTCCTTTTTCCGGTTCTGAATCTGCAAATCACTGCATGAAAAGCATATTATACTGTTATATAGATTATTTGAATGCTATAATGGCTAGTAAATAGAGGTAGGTGTTACTTATCATTGAAAAATAATGAGGTCTATTGGATGTTTGCATTCAATTCTGCAAGAAATTTATTGCCGAAATCATTAGTTCACATGACGTGGTAAGACAAAATAATCATTTTTTTAAAAAAATACAAAAATTAGAGAATATATATAAAATTTTCAATTTTTTTTAGAAAATTAGAAACAAAATTTCAAAATTTAGACAAAATCTTCATTTTATAATATTTTTTTGTTCAAAGTATATATAACTTTTTTTATCATTTAAGTATCCACAATAATTTTTTAATGTCGCCTATAAACATTAGGTATTTTAGATGATGAAAATACTTATAATGTTGACAAAAATACTTTAAACAATTAAATGAAAAAAATAATATATTTTAAATATCTATTTTTGAAACAAACCTTTTTTTATAAGAAAGGAAAGAGGAGATATGCTAAAATTAGAATATGAAACTTATTAGATGTGATGTCATAACTGCATGAATTTGTTGAATTAAATCCAAGATTCTCGTTTAGTAGTTTACAGATAAATTTAATGATGTTAAAGCAAAACAAGAAGATTGGAGGTCAGAAAAGGGAGAAATGTTTAATTTGTTGATTTGCAATTTGCGTATGTTTGTTTTTGGTATAAGAAGGTAATGAGAAGCTGATTGATAAAGCAGGAATGGAGGCGAACCAATCACAGCACGCGAGGATCGCGGCTCAAAAATTCAGTTTCCGAGAGCTAGCCGCGGCAACCAAGAATTTCCGTCAAGAACGTCTGTTAGGAGAAGGCAGTTTCGGAAGAGTTTACAAGGGAACTCTTCAGCCTAATGGCCGGGTACTTGATCCATCTTTCTTTTGCCTGTAATTAAGAAAATTAGATTGTTTACGTTTGGATTTGAATATTGGATTTGTTAGACGAGACTTACATTGATCGGATCTAAATTTGATGATCAAATAATAGAATTCGATTAAGAAGAAAGAGATATATACATTGACTGATTGGTTTTTGTGATCGGAAAATCGGAGAAACATATAGGTGGTTGCCGTGAAAAAACTTGACAGGAATCATATGAAAGGATGCAAGGAGTTTCTTGGAGAGGTAGCGCGATTGAGCCTCTTACAGCATGTAAATCTGGTTAATCTCATCGGATACTGTGCTGATGGAGATCAAAGGCTTTTGGTTTATGAATTCCTGCCTGGGGGTTCCCTTGAAGATAATCTACTTAGTACTATCATTTTCTTTGCTCCACTCTCGGAAAATTTTTAAGAAATGATCAACCATACTAATATATTTGTTGTTTGTCGTGGCAATTGCAGAATCTGATGACGAAGATAAGCCAGAAATTGATTGGTTTACCCGAATGAAAATAGCATATGGGGCAGCTCAAGCTCTAGAGTATTTGCATGACAAGGTCAATCCTCCTGTCATATACTGTGATCTAAAGTCCTCCAATGTGTTGTTGGATGAAGAATTCAACCCCAAACTGTCTGATATTGGACTGGACAAGCTCGGTCATTTGGCCGAATTGCAGTCGAGGGTGATGGGAACATATGGGTACAGTGCTCCGGAGTATGCACGATCGAATCAACTCACAACTGTCGCCGATGTATACAGTTTCGGAGTTGTGATGTTGGAAATTATCACAGGACGAAAGGCCATCGACACTACCAAACCGGTGAACGAGCAAAACTTGGTCACTTGGGTAAGTAAATGTGTTTCTACCTGTAGTTGTTAAAGAGTATGGTGCACATAACGTTAAGGTATTGTGATCTTTTGATGTTGTTGCAATCACAATATAGTTTGTGTTATAAGCATGATGCTCCATAGACATTTATAATTAGTTGTATATGGAACTGGGAACTGGAACAGGCTCAACCCTTATTCAGGGAACCGAAGAACTTTCCGGACATGGCGGATCCTGTACTCAACAAGCAATTCCCGGAGAGGGGTTTGAATCAAGCAGTTGCAATAGCAGCCATGTGCTTACAAGAAGAAGCCACCGCCCGTCCTTTGATGAGCGATGTGGTGACGGCACTGAGCTTTCTTTCAGCTGCCACCGAAGAGAATAACATCCCTCCCTCTCTCCCTCTTTCCATCTCATCTAGATTGCATAGCATCTCAACCAGGCTGAGCATCGAGTGCGGCGGCGATGGAACCGAGGACAGGCTGGGCGATTTCCAATCCGAATCTGACAACTACCAAAGTGATGAAGGAAATGATTCTTCCCCTAGCCAAAGCACAGCCTCATGAGAAAAAGCATCTCTGATTAATCATCAATCATTAATATTATTAGCAGAATATGACAGTGACAATGAAATGGTTCTTTCAGACGAGCTTAAAGCAGAGTATTCTGCCCGGGGGAAGGGGGGGGGGGTTCCATTGATTCATTAATGATTGTTGTGTGGACTAACGAATAAATTTAAAGCCAAAATTTATAAGATTAACAAATACGGTTTGGTTCATTGATTTACAACGTTAAGTTGTTCCTTTACCTTAAAACAATCGCAGCAGAGATTTCCTTTAAAAAATCTTAGTATCGTTTTAATTTCTTTTCTGCTTTCTGTTTCATTTCATGTGTATCAAACCATTTGTATGTTTAAGATTAAGCTTTTATTATTATTATTATTATTATTATTATTATTATTATTATTATTATTATTATTATTATTAATTTGGAATAAACACATTTTTATTTAAAGATAACCCTCAACTATCTTACATTAAACGTTCATATCTCTGACATTCATAATACATTCATAATGTTGAACATAGGACCTTAAAAATATAGGATGAGTTTGTCACGTTCGACGAACACGGATGATCACCACTAACGATGAGTATCGTTGAGCACCATTGATCTAATTTATAAAAATTTAAAATTTTAAAGTACTTAATGTATAATTATAAATTAGTTAAAAATATAAATGTAAATTATTTAAAATAAAATAATAATTAAATTATTTTTAGTAACCTTTTTTTAATAATAATTAGATCAAATATAAGCCCCTAAATTTAAAAATACTAAATATTTTTTCTTCCTATTGAAGTTGTTGTCGTTAACCTCTTTCGTCGGCGAGATAGTCATCGTCGTTCATACTTCTCTGAGTGACTGTCGTTCATTGTCGTTCACGCAACCAATCCAGTAAGGTAAGCTTTCTTTATTTTATTTTGTTTCGAATTTGGACGACGAGTGTCGCCTCACCGGTTGTCGGCATCTTCAATGGTAGTGGTCACGGATGGTCGTGTGGTGTGGCTGACATCCAATTTAATCTTCGCCGAAACCCCTAATTAATAAATCCTAACCTCAACCCTAACCCTAATATTCTAATTAGGCCAAATTTAGATCCTTAATTCCCAAATTGAATACTCTAATTCCTAAATTAGAACCCCAATTTTAAAACTTGAACCATAATTTCTATATTATAAACGTAATTCCCAAATCCAATTCCGAATTTCCAAATTGAAGCCCTTAGTTGTGTTAGAAATCAAACTTGATTTCTAGAAAATTGAAAGTAAAAAAATGTGGCTATAAATGCTATGGAAAATTGAAGAATATTGTAGAAACAATCACATGGAAAAAGACAGCTATAAAGCAAAGTTGAAAATTCTGGATGAAATGACAACAAACATTTGGCACCAATTATCCAAAGAAGAAAAGTTCAATTATTACAAATAAGAAACATGTCAACAATTTATGGAATCCTTAATTGTTAAGGAACTTTAATCATGTCAAGCAATAATTTTCGGGAAGAGTTGGCAGCTTCTAAATCCTTCATTAGGTCGGTTAATGTACTCTATAAATATGTACTTTAATCTTAATGCAATGTATGAGATGGAATATGAGTGAAAGCTTAGAAAAGCTAGATAGAATTGAGTACAGCTTAGCAAAGTTTAGAATAGCGAGGTTGTGTTTGTATACAAGTTGCAGCTAGTGTTGTAGTATTGCAATATTGGGGTAACATCGTTGTAACGTATTTTGCTTCGTATCAATAAAAGTGTGAGTTATACAAATTATCGAGAGCCCACCTACGCTTCTAACAAGTGGCGTCAGAGCTTGGTTTGAGTTTAACGTGATGGAGAAGATGGCCAACATGATTCAACCATAAATCCCGAGATTGACAAAGATGAATTATGGCAATTGGAGCATTCAAATGAAGGTGTTACTAGGCTCCCAGGATTGTTGGGATATCATCGAGGATGGTTACACCAAGCCTGAAAATGCAGAAGCAGTCATAACCAATGAAGAAAAAAAGGTATCGGAGGAATCCCGAAAAAAAAATAAAAGAGCATTGTTCTTTATTTTTCAAGGAGTAGACGAATCTACCTTTGAAATAATTTCTGATGCGCAAACCGCAAAACAAGCGTGGGAGAGTTTGCAAAAATCTCTCCATGGTGCCGAAAAAGCGAAAAAGGTACGCTTACAATCTCTTAGAGCTGAGTTTGAGATGTTAAAAATGAAAAATACGGAAAACATCGATGATTACATTAGTCGTGTAAAAGCGTAGTGAATGAAATGAAAAGAAATGGTGAATCACTCGACGAGGTTAGAGTGATGGAAAAAATTTTATGGTCATTGACAAGAAAATTCGATTACATGGTTGTGGCAATCGAAGAATCAAAAGATTTATCCAAAATATCGATCGATGAGCTTGTGGGTTCACTTCAAGCCCATGAGAAGAAAATGAAACAAAATGAAGATTTTGAAAATTTAGAGCAAGCTCTACAAAGCAAGATGAATGTCAATGAAGGAGAAACTAGCAGTAGCTACACACAAGGTCGAGAAAATCGTAGTGGTTATCGTGGAAGATACAGAGGAGGACGAGGAACTCGTGGACGTGGTGGTCGGTCATATGATATCAAATAAGTGAAAACAATCCAACATCAAGCCATGGACGAGGATTCAGAGGTCGAGGCCGAGGTCGAGGCAGATATCAACAAGGAAATAAATCTCAGGTACAATATTATAATTGCAATAAGTAAGGTCATTATAGTTATGAGTATAGATCTGCTCCTAAACAAGAAGAAATAAATAACATAGCAGCAATTGAAGAAGAAAAAATTGAAAAATCTCATGTATTCCTCACTTATAAAGGAAGTGAAGAATTCAAGAAAAATATTTGGTATCTTGATAATTGTGTCAACAACCATATGTGTGGTTGAAAGGAAATGTTTGTGAAATTAGATGAAACATTCTATGGGCGAGTAACTTTCAGAGATGACTCGCACGCAAAAGTAAAAGGAAAACGCAAAGCTATGATTACTCAGAGAAATGGTGAAAAGAAATACATTTCAGATGTTTATTATGTACCTACTTTAAAAAGCAATATCATCATTCTTGGTCAACTCCTGGAAAAAGGATATAAAGTGCAGATGAAGAATCATTCGCTTGCCATTAAAAATAAAGAATGAGAATTGATAGCCCAAGTTGATATGACTCAAAATCGTCTCTTTACAATTGATGTCAAGATATGATTCATGGTTATGGCATCTAAGATATGGACAACTTGGATTTTCTGGTTTGAAGTTGTTATAAAAAACATGGTGAAAGGACTACCAGAGATCAACCCTCCAAATCAATTATGTGAAGCTTATATTAAAGGAAAGCAACATAGACAGCTTTGAAGTTGGTAGATTCTGGCGTGCCCAAAGACCGTTGGAGAAAATACACACAAATATAACTGGTCCTTTTGATATACCATCGCTTGGCGGTAACAGGTACTACCTAACTTTTATTGATGATTTTAGTAGAAAATGTTGGATTTACATCTTGAAAGAAAAATCGGAAGTGCTGAAAAAATTGAAAGAATTTAAAGCAATGGTGGAAAAGCAAAGTGGCCAATATATGAAGATAATCAGATTGGATAGAGAAGGTGAATATACATCAAATTTATTTGAAGACTTATGTAAAGAGCAAGGCATCATCCTTCAGTTGATAGTTAGATACACGCCACAATAAAATGGAGTTGCAGAAAGAAAAAACCGCTCAATTCTTGACATGGCAAGAAGCATGATAAAATGTAAGCAACTACTAAGAAATTTCTGGGCTGAAGCAATTTGATGTGCAGTTTACCTATTGAACCGATGTCTAACAAAAAGTGTAAAGTATATGACGCTAAACGAAGCATGGAGTGGTCAGAAACCATGAGTTGGACACCTCAAGATTTTTGGGTGCATCGCATAAGCCCACGTTCCTGAACAGATTAGAAAGAAGCTTGATGACATATGAGAAAAATTTATTTTCATTGGCTATAATGAAATAAGCAAAGCTTACAGATTATATAATCCTCTTACCAAGAATGTAATAATTTCAAGAGATGTCGAGTTTGATGAAGCAGAATATTGGTGATGGAGCAAAGAGGAAAAGAAAGTTGAAGGACTATTTTTTTAATAAAGATAAAGATAAAGATGATGATCTTATCAATCAAGATGAACAAGCTGATGATCATGGTCCTCAACAAAATGTATCATCGTCGTCAAGCTGCAACAACGATCCTAGCAACATAATAGAAAATTCTGAAGCATCTTCCACAGAAGTTCGAAGATCCACAAGAGAAAGAATAATACCAAAGAGGTACAACGATTATGAATTAAATAATGTTTCATTATTCAGTCTCTTTGCAAAGAGTGGTCTCATAACAAATGAATAATCGATTGGAGATGACAAGTGGAGAAAAGCTCGTAATGGAAAATCAAGTTTGAGGGGGAGTGTTAGAAATCAAACTTGATTTCTAGAAAGTTGAAAGTCAAAAAATGTGACTATAAATGCTATGGAAAATTGAAGAATATTGTAGAAACAATCACATGGAAAAATACAGCTATAAAGCAAAGTTGAAAAATTATGGATGAAACGACAAAAAACATTTGGCACCAATTATTCAAAGAAGAAAAGTTCAATTATTACAAATACGAAACATGTCAACAATTTATGAAATCCTTAATTGTTATGCAAGAATTTTTTGTAAGAGTTGGCATCTTCTAAATCCTTCATTAAGTCGGTTAATGTACTCTATAAATATGTACTTTAATCTTAATGTAATGTATGAGACGGAATATGAGTGAAAGCTTAGAAAAGCTAGAGAAAATTAAGTAAAGCTTAGAATAGCGAGGTTGTGTTTGTAAACAAGCCACAACTAGTGTTGTAGTATTGTAATATTGGGGTAATGTTGTTGTAATGTATTTTGCTTCATATCAATAAAAATACGAGTTATACAAATTACCGAGAGCCCACCTATGCTTTCAACAAGTTGTATCGGTATGTTTTTTTAGTTGTATGGATACTTGGGATACATAGTATCGATTCTATATGCATATCAATACAATGATTAGCTACTGATTTTTTTGAACCATGTACTGGTACTATTGTGTACATTACCGATACACTATGCTTTAATTTTTAGAATTT